TAAACCACCTTCAACCACTGAAGCATCTACAACTACAAAACCGCCCTCAACCACGGCAAACTCTACAACTCCCGCTACCACTCCACAGACAACTGGTCAAACCACGACAAATGCCACTACTATACCACCTTCAACCACTGAAGCATCTTCAACCACCGCACCAGCAACCACACAGCAACCTCCGACCGTCGCACCTTCCTTGGAGTGCAGTGTAGCGATAGTTGGAGGAGGTAAGAATTGTTTCAATTTTGATGACAAGAAGCCATGTGTAGTGATTTAAAGACTTTTATTATTGTGTAATTGCTGGCAAGTCCGGACTTTTGCATTGGTACAAAGTCCACCAGCTGACCAATTTCGAGCGCCGAAGATATAAAGCCGACGTCTAAGAACTTTCCGATTAGGCAACCGACTACATATTTTTTGATAAGATCCTTATGATGACCACGATGAGTCTGACAACGGCCAAAATTTTAAAAACACGATTTTTTTTTGTTATATTTCTTAAAAAAATGACGACTATAAGGCCCGTACGTACTAGGTCCACAAGATTTGTTTGGCCTTGCCAAAACTCGCGACAAATTTTGTCTCAAATCCTTAAAAAAATTATGAACCTGTTCCCTGATAAACTTTGCTTTAAACGCAATCTCTGTTTCTTAGGGTTAGGCGGTCTACTGATGGCTTATGCACTTCTTGAGTCGAAAAACAAAACAAACGAAACAAACGTGTGTGTATTTGAGAGAGAAAATCGTCTTGGAGGAAAAATCTTTGATTTCAACTTTACACAAGCGCCAGACGTTGCAGTAGGTAAGTCAGTCAAACAGTTCTTAATAAATTTACATTTGTTATAACTATATTTTGGGACGGTAAAAGTCATAAAAATAAAAATAAAATATATCACTTTATTTAAGTGTCGGAGGGTTCTAGCACTGCTGTACTTATTGTGGACACTGAATAAATTAAACAGAAACTTGTTAAAAATCCCAACTGGCGGGAGGCTGACCAGTTGGCTATTTACAAAGCGTGGAGGAATTGAATCTGAGACCACCAGACACAAATCCCTCCAGTGGCAGGAAGGAGGATTTGAACCTGGGAAATCCGGATTACAAATCCAGCGCCATAACCACTAGGCCACGTGGCTTCCACAGAGCATTGTGCTGACATCCACTCGCTCTCTCACTCGGTCAGTCGTTAGCAGTTTAAACTGTAGGGAAACCCAAAAAAGCATTTTTTTCTTCTACAACTACCTGGAGGTGGTACAAGTTGGAGAAAAATATATCGGTAACTAATATAGTGCGTTCTTCTTTTGAAGTCGTGGATGTAGCGGACATTATCTGAAATTGCTACCACGTTTGACTGGGGAGTTGACACAAGAGCCACTAGTCTGAAAATACCTTTTGTGTTTTTCGCTGGTCGTTCTATCCCCTTGTTCCCCTAATAACTGAAAACCTGGGGGAGGCTACAGTACGTCACTATTATAGGAAAAGAAAAATGTTTTCTTTGATGTGCATACGTTAAGTATTATAGGGACTTCCCCCTCAAGCTTCCGTCTTACACATTGTTTTTCAGGACTTGGAGAGTGGAGCATCAACACCAACAACTCTAACGAAATGTAAGTGTCCCTGCTTTCGTACTTCGTTTAATTTATGTTGACACATATTACATGGGACGAAAAGTCGATGACTGTTAATTGACTGACTATGGAAAAGGCTTGATAGCTGTAACAAAGACTTTGTTATCTTCAGATTTAATACTGAGTGTGTGAGGCGGGGTGACCTGGATATTGTGTTGTGTTCTTGGTTACGACACTTTACTCTCACAGTGGCTCTCTCCACCCACAGGCATATAAGGGTATGGGTGAATTTAATGCTGGGGTAACCTTGCGATGGACTAGCATCCTATCCAGGGGGGAGTAGAGTATTCCTAGTCGCTTCATACTACAGAAACAGGGTTAAGCTCCGGCCTGATAGGCCACTTGGGTCGTATACAGACTTTACCCCTCTTAGCTTTAATGCCGTAGTAGATGGTAAGCACACTATCACAAACACTGGACCTAAGTTATGGAATATTGTACCCAAGGGCATTAATTAGAAGTTTACCAACACTTTTATCTTTAAGAAAGACATTCTTAGTACTCACTTAGATACTTAACTGATTGATAATTGCTGCCCCAATTGTAATTTATGTAATTCTTAATGTAAGTTTCTATCGTGTCATCTTGTTCCAGTTTTTATTTGGTATTTTATCCTGTATATACCTATATCTTATGGATATTTTAGCATTTTAAACAGTTTTAGTTTTTTATTAGAGCATTCAGATTTTTACGTTTTCTATTTTAGTATCGACAGTAAAATAAAGTTATTCAATTTCCATTTCATTCTCACTTTTAGTTCCCTCGCTAGCCGTCTTTCTATGCGGATTGATCCTTGGGTCCCTAAAACGCATCGTGTTGAAGCTCGCGGTGTGTATGCAGACAGTTTTGATTCTCTGAAATCAAAGGCCTTTCCAACTTTAAAGGATCGTTTTCCGATGAATAATAGAACACTTGAGCAAACTGCTCGGTTCATCTATGATGACGTTAGAAATCACACGCAGTTCTCTACAGCGGAAACTTTCTTGTCTTACGAACTTTCACCCGAGGGAGCAAAGCTGATGAAAGAAAAGTATGGCTTTTTAGGCGACTACATGCAAGCCATAAACCCACTCAGTTATAGAAAATATCTCAAGAAAAAGGACTTTGTCATATCTGCAGGCAAGAGTTTTAGGCCGAAAACAGGTATGTCCGAGTTTATCACAAACCTCAAAGAAAAAATAGAAAATAGCGGTGGAAAAATCTACCTCAAAGAGACAGTAACCTCTATTGATAAAGAAATGGATACGTTTGTTCTTCAAACTACGAAATTAACTGTGAAAGCCAACAAGACTGTCATCACCTCTGGACCGACAGCTCTCAAGAAGATAAAAGGTGACGTCATGCAAAGCATCACAGGTGATGACATCTTTAACTCCATCGTAAGCGTGCCGGCGTTCCATGGAGCAGCGGTGTATGAAAGAGCGTGGTGGAATGACTCAATCGCTGCTGAAAAGAAAAACGCCCTGCAACCTTTGGACATGTTTATATCCAGTAGTAACTGTCTGGGAACTGCCATGCCTGACAGGTAAGAGTTCTTTCAGTGTTAAAATTCTATAATTATTAGGAATCTGATTATTAGTGTTTGGCTTTTTAATAAGTATTTTCTTTATTTGGGTAGAAGTGATAAAAGATGTTTAGGCTGTTACGAGCTACATGAGACTCGTGGGTAGGCCAGAACTACACTATATGATCCAGTTATGCGGCCAAGCTCCCAGAAACCAAAGGGTGTGCTTTCTAAGCGGAGTTTTGCACGATAGATTTTGCCATGTTCAGCCGCAATCATCGTTTATAAGGACATTACAAAAACATACTACCTTCTTTGACTCTTTAAGCGAAAAAGAGATAAAGTAGAGTAACTAAACAGTGTGCTGATGGCGTATATTGGTCCGAAATAAGAGTAGGACTTGGTGGTCCGTGTGACGTTTGATACCGTCACCCAACCAAAAACTCTAAGGGGGTACCAGTACTCAGTATCGCTTTTTCCTTACTGTTATGGACTGTGTGTGTTACTGTTGTAGTGGTGTTGGTCCTAATGGAAGAGCTGTGCTGCATACGATAGCTAATAACGGAGGATGCAGTGACAAGTGGGGGAAAATCCTGCAGATATCTGCCAAAGAAGTCGACAAAGAACTGAAGCGAGCTCTGAGGTACAAGTTTCAAAGAGATGTGCCAGATCCTTTGGAGACTAAGTACAAGTATTGGGACGAAGGGTTCTGGTAAGTGAAATCTGAGCAAGAGCCTTCTATAATCTCACTTTCGCGCAACCTAGATGGCCACTTAAATTTTCCACGTCTGAAGCCGACCACAAAGATAGTAATAGGCCCTTAGCACGACCCGGTCACGTGGCGCAAAGTCAGGCATGCTGGAACGCAAGTTACACAGTGGGACTTCCAAAACAAAAGAACGTCGAGCTGGACTGGTGCGAGTTGCCTCGTTTTGGAAGTGCAGCTGTTTAACTTGCGTCCCAGCATGGCTAATTTTGTAACCTGTGACTGGGTCGTGCAAAGGGCCTTTTATAGTGCATTTCATAGTTTTCACGTAAAGGTCTCACGTGAGGTGTCACGTGAGGCACAGTCATGTTTGTTTACTTCACCTCAGACAACTGATTGATTTATCAATTAACCGTTTATATCACTGCACTTTTAATGCAAGTTATCAAGTTCATTTTTGGGTTTGACAGAAAGCATATGACAAATCAATTGTATCAGTTTCATTTATAAGCACAAATTCCATGAAACCGTCAAGGAGGAATTGTGTAAAGTTCTTACCCGTTTGACTTGTCTCTGAGTACATCCCAACGCACCACTAAGTTCTGGACTCTCTTGGTGCATATAACAAGAATGTAACAACTTCTTATTAAATGACGTAGGTTTCTGCAAAAGCCAGGGGCCGACTTCTCCTTATCCACCGTTCGACAATGGGCCAAGAGACCTCTGGCCGGACAAGACGTATTCTTGGTGGACAGAGCATTTTATAGTTTCGGCGGATGGCTTGATGATACTATTCAATCATCACTGGATGCTTTAAAAGAGGGCTGGAACTTAGATTTTACACTTTAGTAATAACACTACCAATAAATGGTCAGGAATAAATTAACTGAATCACAGGGATTTTTGAAAAAAAAAATGTTCAAAGGGAAAGGAAAAGAACGATTTAATTGTTGTAACATGATTGTGATAATGAAAAGTCGTAACCCTCCTTTTCCGAAAATTTGACTTATATCTGATGTAAATTTTAAAGAAACATTTAACAGAGGACTTTGGCTTGATATGAGATCAGATTCTCCTTAGTAACATTTCAAGAGATATATTGAAGTCAATAAGGAGAACTGATATTTCCATCTCAGAAATGAAAGGGACAATGAGAGTAGGGAAATAATAAAGGTGGACTAGGTACCTCATGTTGGGATGCAATTTGTGTCAGCGAGTTTTACGAAAACAAACAAAAGTAAAGCGATTTTTCGCTGTCAATATAAAATAGTTCTTCATATATAAACAACAGAGAGATAGACGTGCGATCGTTTGTGCTCAAAAACAAACTTATTTTAGTTTTACAGCGTTTAAGAATTAGGAACATTTTTATAGTCTACGATGTCTCAAAAATTGTATGAAAATAGGTCTACACTATCAAAAGAGGGGTGGAAATATATGATGTTTTGTGCGATCTTTACTGTAAACTCAAATTTAAACAATTTTGTGTCGAGAAATCCATGCATAGTCATGTGCTAGCCTCTCTTGCAAATATGTTAAACCACGTATATCAGGGGATATCTGTCATTACGAATGAAACAACGTTATCCACACAAAACAGATATCCTGTGATAACGTACCGTAGTTTACCATATTCGGCAAACTTTTAAAATGTATTACAAAGAGAAAATTTAGAAACTATAAGTTTATTCTGTAAAAAAACAATAATATAGATTTCATTTAAGAATGAGCTATAATAAGCTGATAGTAAAGTGTAAAAGGAAATAAATGATATAAAGAGTTGTACAGTTTTAACATTTCCTTGTGAACGGCAGTTAAAACAATTAACGAGAAATATTCTTCGTAGTTAAAGTGAAAGAACTTGATCAGACATTGTTTGCAGCTCTTTGGCTACATTCTAGCGAATGTTAAAGGAACTCAGTCACGGTGTTTTGTATTTTTTTGGCCACGTACAAAATCTCCTTTAAACGGAAGGAAACCTGAAAGTAATAGTTTACTAAGATAGAAAAACATCAAAAAGATAATAAACCATAAAGGAACAAGGATGGTCAAGGATGGCGAAGATTGACATGGATTGCAAACGACGACTTTGAAAAATTTAGGCTAAACTTTTCAAAATGTGCAAACCGTGACTGAGCTCCTTTAATTAATTCCTCTCTGATTGAAGCATTATTTTATGACCAAAACAATTTCATAGGGACTCGATGAGAGCAGGCAAATTGATCGCTAATTGTTAATTTGCTCTAAGTGCCAATTAATACTGGCGCTTTCGTGATTTTTTTCTGGTCGTGTAATAAATGAGAAGTCGTCTGAATTATTTAAGTTGCACCCTATCAAGTGTTTTCTTACCTTCGTTTTGTCTCGCCTCATAGTTTCTCCCCTGGTTTCCTGCAAAACGTCTCCCATATCCTTCACTTTTGTTTGGTTTGGCGTATTTTGCTTCTTTCATTCCAGCGTGATCACGAGCACAACTCACTCACGAGGAAGTTCCCCGGGGGATACTCCCATATTTTAAGGACGATTACATGCTCGTTGTCTCCCTGTGTGAATCAAGGATTTTGGTCTCACTGGGGTGTTCATAACCAGGCAAACATCAAAGCATCTTGACCACAATCTTAAGCGGTCAAAGTATTTTTTTAGGGTGCACTCGAAGAGATAACAATTTAAAAAAACGTTATTTCCGTTTTTAGGCTCGATTTTCGCCGGTCTCTCGAGTCCGGTCATCTAGAGCGGGCTCCTTGCTTGAACAGCGGCTGGTAATCGCGCCTATTCCGTTTTAAGTGGTATCTTTTAGGGGTTAAATTAAGCTCGAGCCACTCTCAGATTCTTCTCCTTTAGGGGTTTAATTCAAAATTCTCGACGAGCATTCCCGACCTTTTCATATGGAAGTTCCCCCAGGGTTCGAAATCTCTGACAAGAAGTGAAGGAGTGATGAAGTGAAATTGCTCCACACCTACAACTTGGAATAATATTTTCCAAGTTTAAAAGGATTTCGATTCTGTATCTCCAGTTCCAAGCATCGCGATCACTAGAGCCAGTCCTGCTATAATCATCGCTATTTCGAAGAGGAACAACAAAATTTGCCAAACACGGAAAGTGCATCTTCTATGAAAACCATCACAATAGGAGCATCTTTTTTTTTTTAAATGCTCTTTTTTCGTCGCATCGTATCCTTCGCACATTATTAGGGTTGTCGCACTGGTGAAAGTCCGCACGCTGCCCATTTCATGTAGTTTGAGACAAACGAGAAACAAACTCTACTGACGTTCTCTGACAAAACTAGCCAGCAAAATCTGTCTCCGCCAAGATAACCCACGAGTCAGGTGTCCAACACCCCAGGGGGGCGGGGGGGGGGAACTCCCATATAAAAAAGACGGGTGTGCTCGTCGGAAATTTTGAACAGATCCCCTTAGAGGTACAAAGATCCGGTTTCAAGGGGGTGGCTTGAATATTTTTTCTACCCTTAGAGGTACCAATTCTTACATATAAACACATTATTTCCTGTAATATTTTTCCGGCTCAATACCCTAAAAAGTACCACAGACGCTCCCACTGTGGATTTTGAGGCTGAGCACCCTAAGAGGTACCAAAACTGCTTTTTTAACCCCTAAAAGCATCGTCAATTTTATATGGGAGTACCCCCCCTCGCACGAGAAGACACAACTTTTGGCAAAGTTTTAAAATAATCTATACACAGGGTCTGTAAGTAGGGTTCAGAGCCACGTTAAATATATAAAAACTCAGTAACAAATTAATGAACCCAAAAATTGAACTCATTCATTGGCCTGTTTGAACGTAATAAACCCGCCTGACTTGCTTCTAATCTTCTTAGTTTTGAGCACTTTCATGTTTGTGTACTTGCTCGCTATTTCCTGAATAGACTGAATTATGGCCCGGGTATCTTCAAAAATCCTTGAATCAATGTTTTCAATCCGTCGAAGGTTGAGTTCGGCTTCTCGAACGTTAAACTGGGTCTTGCCTTACTCCAAAAAAAGTGTTGAAGAGAAGCGCGTAAAATTAAACACAAGTAGAAGAAAAAACAATTTGGCTTCTCCTCTTCATTCACTCAACTCTAAGGTCAATAGAATCTTTTTTTTAACAGATGACCACTTCCCCAATTTAGGAATGATAAATAGATAGACAATTGTATTTCTTTTATACCACGGTGGCCTTTTCAGAAGCAATAGCTGCGGCACTGATACCCACAGAGGCTCTGTCAAAACTAACAGAAAGAACTAAAACTACACAATAAGTAAAGTCATATTACAATATTAAAACCTATGAAACAATTTACAACGAAAACTGTTCTCCGATGAGAAAATATGCGATGTCATCGGCATGAGGTAAAGGAGGAATCCGAAGAAATGTTGTTTTTGTAACTGGACATTACACTCGCTTTCAATGTTACGTGCATGGGCGACATCTTGCGAACATTACATCCTTCGACATGCCATCTTTCGACATGCTATGTAAAAGGCTGAAAGACCGTTTAACTGTGAAACGGGCAATTTTTTCGGTTATTAGCGGAACAAATGACAATGACTGACCTCAAATGAATGAAGAAGATTGTGGACTTTGCATATTTCTCAATTTACGGGGTAATTCAAACGATTTTGGTGTACTGTAGCCGACCGGCTCTCAATGGTGACTTCCGGTAGAATTGGGCCTCTACCGCTCAGTTATTAGGGACCTTTAGATTTGACTACGACTGATACGAGCTCGAGATTGAATACGAGTACGATTTACGAATTTCAAACCAGTGACGTTTCCAGAGTATGTGACGTGGTAACGTGAAGCCTGCAAAGTGGAATTGAAAAATCGTTCTCGTACTCAATCTCAGATCTAAAGTCCCACAATATTCGAAAGATGTAAACATTCAAAACAGTCGATTTTTCTCTCACAGAATGTTTTCTTGATACCCCTAGCCTTAGCTTGATGTCAAATAAATCCATCTTTCATGACTAAAAGTCGAGTTCGACCGTCAAGACGTCAGTTGTGTTTACATTTTTGACGTAGGCCAGGTTATATATCATGTCGAGAGATGGCATGTCGAAAGATGGTGGCTATGCACGTAACAATGAAAGCGGGTGTAAACAATTTTTCGTTGTGGTATCTGTCCAGAGATTCGGATCGAGGACAGGCCCATATGGCTTCGTCTACCAAACATGGCATTGTCTATCAGTTAAATACCGTCCCTCTTCTCAATCTGTCTCCAGTCTGGTTGCGTATAACCGAAAATCTCAACATTTATCTTTTTTTATGGTGACAAGTAAATTAATCGACCTCATTGCCTGATGAAGAGCATCCTCGCAGACCCAAAGGCTGCAAATGAGGACGAAACGATATTTTCTGGCCAAAGTTTACTTCAAGAGCGGGAGAGCTCTCTCCCGCTCTTGAAGTTAACTTTCGCCCGAAAATACCGCTCACCAAAAAATATCGCATCGACCCGACTACCAACCCCTGGGTCTCCGAGGATGGATGAAGACTGGCTAATTACCGGTAGCAGTCCAATCGTCGTGATCAATATGCTTCAGTGACTCTATTCAGTGACTCTCCTTATGACAAAGAAATAAAAATTTATATCAAGGGTTAGTTAAGAGCTTTGGATATGTCGGAAATCTAACCTTGCGACTGAAATTAGTCAGTGAAATCCGAATACGGCTTTTCTTAACATAAACAGTGTTAGTTTGCCTAATGTATGTTTCTTCTAATTTTCATCGGTTTCGCGTTCTTCAAAATCAAAGGGGATCACAGGAAAGGAAACCAAGGTGCATTCCTCCAAATCAGCGGCTGTTCGTAAGTTTCTGCTTTTGAGAAGTTGGCTGTCATTGCACAAAGTAACCAAAGATGATAAGCTGCTTTTTCCCAAGCTGAGACCGACACGTTTGAACAATTCCTCACCGCTGTAACTGTCACCATTGACTATAAGGGTGACAGTACTTAAAGACGTACTTTTGGCCAGACCTTTACTAAGGCCTTTCGCCCAGTCTTCGTTCGCGAAACCGTCATTGTTAAATCTTAGATTGAGAGTGGTTAATGATTTGCTTTTCGCCAAGCCATCTGCAAGATGTCTTGCCCAATCTTCTCCCATGTAAAGGATACTGCTGTGGATTGTCAGGCTAAGAGTAGTTAATGATGTGTTTTTCGCCAAACCGTCACCCAAACCTTTCGTCCAGTCTTTACTCATGAAAAGCTCACTGCAGTTGACTGTAAGACTGAGAGTAGTTAATGACGTGTTTCTCGCCAAACCGTCACCCATACCTTTAGTCAAATCCCCATTCATGAAAAAGTAACCGCTGTTGATTGTTAGGCTGAGAGTAGTTAATGACGTGCTTTTCGCCAAACCGTCAGCCAGACCTTTTGTCCAGTCTTCACTCTTGGAAAGCTCACTGCTGTTGATAGTTAGGCTCAGAGTAGTTAATGACGTGTTTTTCGCCAGACCGTCAGCCAGACGTTTTGTCCAATCTTTACTCATGGAAAGGTAACTGCTGTTGATTGTTAGGCTGAGAGTAGTTAATGACGTGTTTTTCGCCAAACCGTCAGCCAGACCTTTTGTCCAA